ATTCCATCAATTCCTGGTGCCCGTGTTCTTTGCCAATTCCTTCAATGCACCTTGGACTTCCTCCCTGAGTATCATTGGCTCTTGATCATGTGCTACCTCTTGAAATGGTTGAACATTAACCATTTCCTTTTGGCACAGTGACTCTGTGTATTCCCCCCATCTTTTCTGGATGCTTTCTGCGTCATTCAATAATTTGCATAGAGAATCTTTCAGTAACGAAAGTCAAGGCTTGAATTTTTACTTCAGTTCCCCCAGCTTGAGAAATGCTGACCATGCTCTTCCTCATTGGTTTTCTGATTCCAGATCTTTGTACATTTTATTATAGTATTTGGCTTTATCTTCTTGAGCTGATCTTTGAAATTTTCTGTTCATTTCTTCCATTTGCTTTAGCATCTCTACGCTGGAGAGCAAGTTTCAGAGTCTATTCTGACATCCATTTTGACATTTTCCTTCTTTCTTGTCTTCTTATTGCCTTTTTGCTCTCTTCACATATGATGCTCTTAATGTCATCCCACAACTAAGGGCTTACCTGGGCATTATTAGGCTCAATAACTTTTCACTTTGTAATTTTCTGATTGGTTGCAGATGGTTGTTGTTATTAAGTGCTGTTGAGTTGGTTCTGACCCAGAGCAACCCTGTATAGGGTTTCCTAGCAGCAGCTTGTGAGCTTGAACTGCCAACCTTGTGGTTCAGACAACTTTGTAGTCCGGTGCATTAACCTGCAGCGTCACACCAGGACTCCCTGCAAATGATTAAGGGAGGGTTTATATGCCAGTGCTCAGCACGTATCATGTGTTCTGACAGTCAGCTCAAGGTCAAGAGTATGGTCTATCTTGGGCAAACTACTTATTCTTTTTTTTTTGTAATCTATTTCTTTTTTTCTTAAATGTTTTATTGTGAATTATGTGATAGTTTACATGGGAGAACATTAGTTTTACATTCATTCTATCGTATATCGTCTCATTTTACAATCCCCTCATGCAGTCCTTCCCCCGTACCCCCCAGGTCTTCAGCACACAGTCGCTCTCCCTCTCTGGATCTAAAG